GTTGGCAATCTCATAATACACTGAATATTTTTGGACAGTATCATTCCACATGTGATCGTCAATGCAAGCTCCATTAATTATGACATATGTATACGTATCCATTTTCTGTCAGTTACACTTTATTTCGAGGCGTGAGTAGACAGAATATGATAGTGATTGCTGTGAATAATGCGGGCTGAAGTTATAAATATCTGAGGGACACACGATTTCACTGCAGCTAATAGAAACATTCTTTTTTAACATTTTGAGTAAAATTACCGTCTCGTTGTTGATACCAACAGTGATTGTTATGACATAAAAAAGAAAACAAACACAGGTGCACATTATGGATCAGAAAAATCTTTATTAGAACGGTAACGGTAACTGCCAGTTGTCTTGTGGTCTGAGTTGGCCGCAATTATTACCCTAACAGAAGTCATCAGAACATAAATACCAGCAATTGAAGATATACAGAGATGAAATAACAAAGCAGCAATGCAAAATCTATACAAGTGAGCAAGCACAACTAATGTCCATGAGACAGAAATTCACACAAACTTATTTTTATTTTATTTATTATTAATATTATTATTATTATATGATATTTGTATAGCGCCAATATCCAGCTTAGCTCAGCAATGCGCGTTTTTTCCCTCGATCATAGGATGTCAATCTCAATGGCACATCATATTATTCAACCTCAACTCCCTGAGGACCATACAACTCTTGCAGCCATTTAGCCGCACAAAGTTAATGTGTCTTTCTCATCCTTACGAGAAACCCATTCACAGGTGGGTGGACTGGGACACATAGTCACAGTACGTTGTCCAAGTTTAGTGCATGTTGCTGTACCCGCAACTTGGTGTTTGCACGTATTCATGCGGACACCATCTGGTCATATACCAACAGATTCGTGGGTTCTTTTAAGAGTACAGGGTTGTGTACTGTACACTAGGGGGTTGTGACAACACTGAAAGAGTCTGTACACAAAGTTGACTCCAGGTGGGCTCGATCCCGGCACCTTAAGCTCGCTGGATCACTAGCCTAGCGTCTTAGATCGCTCGCCCATTGCAGCCAACTATTTATAGATATAAGTTGTTACTGTGACTTCATGAATAGATTGGTTGCATGTTTGCTGTGATAAATCAGTGCCACGAAGACATCTGTGTCATCCGCTTCATCTGTGTCATCCACTTCTTTGTTGTTCTGTGCATGACACTATCAACATAGATCTTGCATATGTCAGCAATGGTACCAATCCTTGGCCATGGTATATGCTGGAGAAGTGCACATCCAACGACTACGCCTGGTGTTGTGTGTTTTCTTCTTCTTTGTGGTACCGGTAATGTGTAAGCAGATATCTGGCCAGGACAGACTTGGGCATTTTCTCATGGATCCATCATCATGGAAGAAAGCTGGTGACACTGTTGCAAGTTCAAATGAGAAGACATCTGCAGATGGAGGACCATTCACAAGAGTTATTGATAGTAATCGCTGACACAGCTCCATTGATGACATCCTCGGCTGTCCCCCCGTCTGATAGGCGGACACACTTCTTCATGGTGGTAAATCAAATGTGACTACTTGTGATGCCTTCTTCAACACCTTTCCAAATGTCATCCCTGTCATATTTGTGCAGACAGCAGTTATTTGGTTCATGCTGAATCCTTGTGGGTGATGTTGATTAAGTCTCCTTGAATTTTGCCTGCTCTGATTAGACATTGCTCTATGACTATGTCTCTCCTTAAGTGTCACTCCATAATTGCTTTGGGTTTCTTCTGATTGTAAACAGACCAGCTTCCATAATTACTTTCAGACAAGCACAGACAAAGACAATCCTGAAGATACAATGTGCAGAATTCGGCATAGTTGTTGTGTCCAGATGCTGCAAACAGGGGTAACATGCCTCCTGTTGGTTGCTTTCAGATGTAACTGCCAGTTCCCAGTGCGCTCTGCTCTTATAAACATCCTTACAATGGAAACAAAGTCCATGAACATCAGCCACAGCTTACTTGTCCTTGATGGTGATTTCTTCTGATCTTTCAGCTCAAGCAGTTGCACATGAAGCTGTTTGAGATTTTCATGGGCTGTATTATCAACTTGTGATTCATGATTCATGATTCATGTCTATCAAGGTCACAACGCTTGGTCTCCCCTCTACTTCTGCAATAGTGATCCTTGATCCAAAATACTAAAGGAGGCGGCACGTTTAAAATGCTTCAGACTGTAGGGTGAGATCCCAGTAAGCAGATCAGCAGCATACAGATCCAACAGCTACTGTAGAGTGTACAGCTTTCCATTCTGCATACTTTCTGGCAGCAGCTCACACCATGAACTGAAGGCTGTGTTCTTAATGTTTCTTGCTGAATCCTCAGAGTTTGTCCTTTCATGCTCATGCAAAAAACACTCCATGCAATGTCTGTGGTATGTTGCCTCAACTGCACCAATGTTACCAGCTGGAACATCAACTGCCTTATCATCGAAGATCTTCTCTCACAGAAGTTGAGAACGGTCTCTTGCAGAATACTTTTTTTCCCTCTGCTGAAAATATTGATATTGCTGATTGCTGAATTTCTATTTGGATGTTATTGAAGGTCTTCCAAATCACTCCCATTTGCATAAATAAGGCAGTGAGTTCAGTAGTCTCAATACACATGACTGGGTATTTTCATTGATGTCTACTTTGTGAGCTTTCAGTATGGTCGATTATGCTGAGTATGACTTTCTGCATTTTTCAAGGACAAAGTTAACATTTTTTATTAAAGAGTTGATTGTAAAGAATCATTACAAAGAGTTAATTCTTGAGTAGAGTGTTCAAACCCTTGCCTCTTAGTTTCACTTCTCCTGAACCATTGTGACAAATGACACGTCATGTTGGAGATTGGAGATCGAAACATATCTGTAAAGAAAATAAAAATCAATTAAACTTATGATTAAACATAGGCATATTTGGACATGGTAATACATATTCTGTGGCCAATTATTATTAAGAAAATATATATAAACCTGTTTCACATCTTATATATTTCACTTACTGAGATACATAGTACACTCGATATTTTCCAAAACATCTGCATGGAGTAAAAATAAATACAAATAAGCATATTTTGACATGGTAAATTACAAACAACTTTCTGTTTTTAATAATCAATAAATAGAATGCATATTATGTATATTCACTTAAAGAACAGTGGAAATGAAATGATATTTCATCTAAACTTCAAACATAAAACTTTACTGGTTGTTTAACATGCAAGTTTGTTGCACATGTTTTGTAGTTTTGTAACATTATCTCAAACTATCTGCATTGATATACTGGGTTTCAATGGAGAATATAAACTCTTTCACTTGAAATATGTATTGAAATATCACCTAATAAGTAAAATATTCCTGAACTATATAGTTCCATAAAAGATAACACTATCAAAAATATTTTTGCAGGTGATATTCTAAGTAAAACAGTACATTTACATCTGAAGGGTTTTGACATACACATCTCTATAATTTGTTGTCAAGAAAATATTTTCTGCAGTGTTTGACCTTGACCTCGGCATCAATACAGGCTTTTTATTAACTTGAAACATAATTACTTTTGGGGACTAATGTTAATCAATTAGGCAAGCATAATTGATGTATAATATCAATATGTGGATATGCTGAGTGCATTTATATGCATTTGGTTTTCTTTTCATTGTATTCATACAACACCATAGATTTGGTCCACTTTGACATTATTTGAACTGTTTGTTTATTCAACGGTGCTATCTTCTTAAACAGTCCAGTTACTTTTGACATCAAAACATATTTCCCCACTCTTGAGCTTGATTTTGTGTTGATAAATAGGCACCAGAGATATTCTACGCCTGTTAACAAATGTCTAGGTTATTTTTGACGTCGATTTCTACTGGCCAATAAGATGAGGAGCAAGCGCATCGATCTACGCAATTCGAATAAGATGACAAGCGTCACTTCCACCAGTCCCCTCTTACGACATGCATAGGTTGCTGAAGACCGATTCTAACCTTCATGAATCTGTTGCGTGGGCACTGTACTGGATTCACCTCGGTACACAGTTATTTTATACCACAGTCACCTTTATCCCGCCTATATCATGTCAGCCCCTGCAAGGTGAGTATTGGGCCGTGATGAACGTATCGGAACGTACCTGCGCGTACCAGATCGTCCCAAATCGGGGACCCCGATCGGTGATGATCATGTCAGATCGCAACCCAGTCGTGAACTCAATCGGGACACTCTTATCATAACGTATGTGATCGTATCTGAACGGGAGATCAGATCGTGAAAATAACGCATCCAAACGCACCAAATCGTATCGACTCGCATCCAAACCAGAAATTTCGGAGACGTTCCACGATCAGCTACGAATGGCCAACTGTGGCATTCGTAACGAATCGTACGACAGTGTGAACCTAGCATAAGGTGATCGTAAGTCACAAAGGTAACCTTAGTGCAATGTTAAAGAATGGGAGTTAAGGTTAACCTTAGTAAAGATTGCTTCGTGAAAGGAGCCCCTGGTAAGATAACATAAAATACTGGATACCTATTGACAAGGAATCCTTCACCAAACTTCACAAGCAGCATCTTGGTTGGTAGTAGGTATATATGTGGGAATGTTGCATTTCTCTGAGTGTGAATTTGGATTTAGGTGTAGCGAGTGTATGTATGTGCATCATATCTTCTTCTTGAGGTGTATTCGAATCTGGCATTCCTCGTATGTAGTCCTAAGCGCAAGTCGTTTATTCTTTATTTTTCTTCAAGCTTTCTTCTCAAGGTGTACATATATAAAAAATTGTTCCTGAAATGATGTATCTGCATGAATCTAGCTGTCTCCCGATAGAAATGTTAATGAGTGAATCTCTTTCCTCTAATAAAATGTACGTGTGAAACCAATGTAGATTTAATCTTCAGGAAAATATGGGTAAATCTTGCCTATAAGTCAAGATGATGAATTCTGACCGTGGAGTATTCCACTCGACATACCAGATAAAAGACAAAATCAGTTACGTGAAAAACATTTTATTACAGGATAAGAAACTAAGAAATGTTTGGCACAGGCAAATGATACACATGTACACATAAAAGACTAAATAAGTTATCATACATGTAGTATGTAGCAGAATACTTTAATCTCATTATTATAAACGTATCTAATATGTAACAAAACCCTGGTTACATGTCCTTACCATCTATAGCAACACAGCAGTGCTACCATGGTTACTGCCACCATAGCAACCAATCTTCACTGTAGCCTTAGGCACAAACATGCAACACTCGAGTATCAGTTCAAGTCATATTCTCCCAACAACTTGCATTACCTACGGACAAAATAGTTAACCTGAAAACAATAGTTGATGAATACAAATTCTGTATTCATATCGTGTGAGCCAATTAATCAAAGAGTCCACAGCCATCTTATTAACCCTTACTGTTGTAAATTATGGATAACATAATTTTGATTTTTGGAATGTTCTTCCTTAAGGTTAGTATTCTAATATTTGAATCTTAACATATGCTCTTCCAGACATGATTTGTTTGTAATTCTGTGAAAACATTTACTTTACAATCTGCTTGTATTTTACTGGACAACGCAACAGTCAGCAATACTCCATCAACATGGTGTTATAATTAAGTCAGGATCAGACAGACCAGCGATTAATATTGAGCAAGGTCACGTAAGTACAACCACATTCACCGAATCACCAAGCCTTTCCATCCATTCTCCTTGTGACAAGCATTGGTTACTTGGATATGATCTTTCTTGGAATCCCCTTGGGGTCAATAATAAGATATTTAGTTGGTCGTATTACTCTTCCAAGACTCACATCAAGTAACAATTCATACATTGATCGCAGTTTTCAATAAAAATATTCTCTTACAATTTCGCTATTTTGCATTGTAAATAGAACAAATCTAAACTCCAGTACATGATTAGGATATTTCTTTGAAGAATACTTAGATATATATCAATGTTTAAGCTCACTAAGCAAATGAAGACATATACAGATACACGTCACACTTGGATCAAATAATGCAACATTATTCAGGTAATAAACATACTGACCAATGAATCTTTCCCTCACTCACACATCCAAACACACAAGGACCAGAAAATACTGGAATCATCATCTTCAAGCTTCTAGCTATAATTATTATGACGTCATGCTGGTGAATTCATTGACAATTCCGTCCCGGGAGGACAGGGGTATGTATACCAATTATTTTTATTTGTTTTTCAATACACAAATACAAAATCGTTTTCCCATGAGTCATAATTGTTTGGATTGTAGCTTCAAACATTGGCATCTGACAACAAATAATTTGTCCATTAATCTGGGCAAAAATCATCAAGAAAATAAATCAAACGGTCCACAAGAGGATGTGCATGGTTCACTGATGCTGCCTTTCCAATTCTGATAATAAATCACACTGTGTTCCTGTTACTGAAGAACTCAGAACTCTACACTAACTACAGAATACAAGACATTCAACATGTCTTTCTGTGGGCAAAAGTTCTTTCTTATAGACAAGCTACATGTCCTTCTATTATGGGCAACATTCAAGATATGCCTCTGTTATTGGAGACATTCAACAAGAGTCTGTTATAGGAAACATTCAACATGTGCCTCTGTTATGGGCAACATTCAAAATGTCCATCTTGTGTGGGTAATATTCAACATGCCCTTTGAGTTACCAAGGTTACAGGCAACATTCAACAAGTTGTTTTAGGATTATCCATTAAACAAATACTGTTTTTTAAAGGAATTATTTTAACACTTGTTTAAAAGAATCATAATCCCTGCTAACACTCTCAGAAGTAATATTCCACATATTTCTGTAGACAAGCAGTAATCAGCTTATTTTTAAGATACTACATTGCATCAATTTCTTTTCACACTTGCTGATTGACACCAATAAAATATTTGATACCAAACACCAAAAGATGAGGTTTAACATTTATCATTCCAAAATGCCAAATTACAGATGACATTCTGCAACCATCACAACCTATGATCTATGTTGTCATGAAAAAATCACAAATTCTGTTAATAAGTATTGTGGCACTTGTTAAGTTTTTTTGTTTTTGGGTGTTGTTACTGCAATTAAGATATCACTGCCAACTGCCTCAAGCAATAACTGATGGACCATGTACAGATTTTGTCATCGATATTATTGCACGAATAAAATTATACATGGAAAACTGAATGATGACTAGTCAACCTAGATCTAGCCACTGGGATAACAAGCTTGGTGTTTTCAATGAGACGCTCCACTGAAGCCCCATTGTCATGAGGGTACAGTCACACACAACATGCCAGTCTTTGACATACTGACAATTATTCTGTATTAGGTGGTAATCTGATTCAGCAGTCCACACTTAATAAATGAGTTTTAATAGGCTTTTGACATTTACTTTCTTATTAAAATGAGTCGGCTTAATGCATGATCCCAAACGTTACCACATTAGTGAAACCCAATGAACTGTTATGGTGTCCACAAGCCAAGTATTAAAACCATGAAAACTCCTTTAAATAGGCCACAGAATAACAGCAACAACAATAATATAATATCCACTTGTCACAGAGTTCCATAGTGTTTTCCCATATCCCAAGCCCTTACTGTGACGCTACAACTATAATTGAACTCTAGATTTTCAAAAAATTGGTTTGCAGGTATTAATTTCCCATCTCACTTTGGATCCTTTTAAATTTAATTGGAATTGCTTGTTTCTAGCAAAATAACTTATTTTCAAAAACTGACCATTTGTCTAAATACTGAAGAATAGAACAGGATACTCACATAATTACCATCAGTTAGAATGTAGAAAGCTGGCAGTATAAGTTTGATGAAAGTTGATTACTTAAGTAATATTGATCAATCTATGAGTTTACAATTGGAGTAATGACATATTTTCTTATCAGGATACTAATCATGAAGATATTGACTGATATATGCACTGTGAAATATCTTTTTCTTTTCTTCTAATGAACATGTCTCTGAGCATGTTGACTGGAATTTTATTCCTTGATCCCCACTTTGTGAATACGATGTAAAACATACAGACATTTGTTAGTGCAAAACCCAGAACTGTACACCAAATAGTTATTGCTTTGCACTGGTAATATACTAGAAACTAACAATTACGTCACATATTGAAACAGTGAAAATAACCCCGCAGGTCCCTGTTTAGAGGCAATGAAGTGCCATGCGACCAGTCTTGATCACACCACTTTGACTCCCAGGCCCTGTCAGAAATTGAACCAATCCCAGTCCCACAAAGTGACCATAAATGTTACATGTAAACATACACTTACATGATCCATGAGGTTTGCTGTTGGAATCATATATATATATATATATATATTTTAAAAGCTTAAGTCATGACACCTTAATTTAATTCCTAATTTTAAAAATATTACTGATGGTACAAAGCTGATTGTCACCTGTTTCTTGAAACTAGACACCTGCAATGGTTAGTTTGTTTTCAGTAAGTGATTTTCCTTGCAAGTTATCTTTACTGTCATCCACAGAACAATATTCCCTGCATGATGATAATATACATGTCTGTAAATTACAAGTCCAACATATTTTCTTGTTTCATGAGCCCACCGTATGTTAAAGATAACAAAACAATAATAACATTCAGTTGGGATTGAAAAAATGCTTGTTTGTGGAGATCATTCTACATAGTATTTACTGTTTACTTTCAAAGGAAATAACATCCAGCCTCATAACAGTTTTCAGTTTCTGCCTGCCTCCTGAATGTTTGCTAGAAAATAAAGGGGGGAAAATATGGTGGACTGGCCTGATTGAAACTTTATATCTCACCTGTGCACTGAAAAGACAATCCTTAAAGCAGACATTAGCTCAGAATACACCATCCCATCTGAGGATACAGTGCCACACTCTACAGACTGGGGGAATAAAAATATAACACTTCTTATACCATGGAATGAGCAGAATTTAGCCTGAATGCAAAACATCTAAAACACAGGTGATGATGATAATTTTGAGTCGTCGATCACACTTCCACCATCTGTTCCATTCTCACACGTGGTCTTTCTGACAGGGGCTCTACAGTGACTTGGGCTAGCAGATTTTGTCCTACTAACGTTTGCAATACTTGTCCCTAGCCTCTGGCTTCCTGTTGGACTTTCACGTGACCTTGACCTCACACCCTGACCTGGCCTTGGCCTAACTCTTTGAGGTCTTGACCTTTCACCTTTGACTTCTGCTGCTGAAGCACCAGTAACTGTGGTTGTTTTAGCTGGTTGTCGAATTCTTGGAGATGGGGACCCTACCCTGGCGGTAGACCCACTTTTCCCCCCCATTTCAGCTTTCAGCGACCTTGCAGCCTGGGCCTCAGCTCTTGAATGAGGCCTCCGGGCAGTGGTAACATTTGAACTGTTTGTATTAGCCTCTCGTTTCACTGTGGGCTTCCCAACTTCATGACTGCTGGTCTTGCTACTTGGTTGCTCTAACTGAACTTTTTCCTTTTCTATAATATTATTCACAAATGAAAAAGCATCTTTTGATTGACTGCTGTCTGAGTCTTCCTTTGTGGTCACACCAGCAGAACCTTGAGCCGGCTGAGGGGTTTCTTGTTGGCCACTGTCGTCAACACCTTCTGACTTCGCTTTCCTCGACCTAGTCCGCTGCACCCGTCCTCCATCAACATCCATGCTGTTGCTAACAGGCTGTAAGATTGCACGATCAACTCGGCACTCTTGTTCCTTCTCCTCCAGGTCCAACAAGCAGACGTCAGGGCTTTTTTTGGTGGCCTCAGGACGATCAGTGTCATCTTCTGTAACAAGATATATTCAGTGAATAGGGTTTAACACTTTGTTTAAAATATTTCAAACCTGGTAAGGAAACCAAGAATTTATTTCCTGGGTGTGATGTTTTGACAATGGTACAAGAATCTGTATCAAAACGTCGCACTCACGTATATTAAGGAAGTTGTTATCCATAAAGTTTGTCTAAAATGCCTATCAAAGAAGTTAAACAAAAAATGGTCTCCATCACGAATTCTGCAAGAAGTGAAACTTATGATGATCATGACTGATCAGTGAAAAACATTAAATAATAACGTCTCTGATATCTTTGCCTGAATGGTGTATCAGGTATGGGCAATACTTTCAACAGAATATACTTGCCTTCAATGCTGATCTGTCTGGGTCTTCGGCTGGTCTCACTAATACTGACTCTCAGTCTGTGTTCACTTCGACCAGTGTTCACCTTGAAGGACTGGGCAGTCACTGGGCTGACAGGGGAGACAACTTCTGCTGGCGTGGGACTTGGGGGTTTCTGTGCAGCTTTTCTCTCCGCTTTCATCTTCTCTTCCTGTTCCAGGAGTCGGTATGACATCAGTTTGATTTCTTCCTCCAGAGCAGACAGACTCTCCTCACTCTTCTCCACCTGCTGCGAAAGCCCCTGTGGTGGCAGGGAGGAAGTGCAAGAACAAATTGATGAATCATTTTGTCTACTTCTCCATGCTTTGTAGGTACCGTATATTACTGTAGATAAGCCGAATTTTGAGGACCAACAAAATCAGTCTGTAGAAGGGGGTCGGCTTATCTATGGGGTCGGCTTATCTATGGTAATATACGGTACATATGGGTCTATTACTATCAGGAGTATCAGACATGAAAATAACTTGGCAAAATGCGCAGACGAAACCTGTGACACATGTACAGGAACACACTCATTTATCATTACATGTGAACAGCTTGACAAGGATATTAAAACATTCCAGTGTGAGATGAACATTTCATCAGCCCAGTCACTACTGCTTAAAAACATTTCTAAAGTGTGTGTGTTTTGTGTCCGTGTGTACATTAAGTAACAGTCCAAATCAATTTGTGGAGATGGACATACCTGTAGTCTTGTGTGGAGGCTTGTAGACATTCCCTGAATCTTGTTGATCTCAAGCATGGCACCAGAACCAGACATAAACTCACCCCTATGTGCATGAAGAAAAAGACAGCATGGTAAGTTACCCCTAGAACTAAACATGAGGCCTATCAGTTACACTTGGCAAATGCATGATACTGAATTTACCTGAATCATTATTGCAATAAATTGAAAATTGTACTTCCTTTTGCACCATCGATATATACCTTGAACTACCTGAAACGTGTGGTTACCAGACATACAGATATTTGGGGAGTGGGGTCTTACTGGAACTGGTTGATAACTGTGGTGAGTGAGCCCCCCTGGGGGTTGACGGTCAGGTTGCCTCGAGTCTTGTACTCTGTGTGGGTGGTGTCTCCCAAGTTGATCACTCTCATTGCAACCTTCTGGAATTTACTGCAATAGAACAGGTGCTTGAGATCACTTAAACATGGACTCTAGTTCTTTATCACTTTACACAAGACCATAAACATTAAACCAACAGCCATATCAGTCCTCAGGATTACAGTTTACCCAGAGTAGCTGCAAGTGTTAAAAACTTGTCTTCATAATTTATAAAAGCAATAAGCCCACCTTCCTTTTTTATGTAGCGTATTACATCTCAATTTTGTTACCACATTCTGTTACCCTCGACCAATTAGCCACCGAAGATATATCTTGAATCTGGTTCAAATGAGGGTCGTGAATGATATGATACACATCATAACATAACAGAGATATGATGCACTCGGAGACAGGGAATGGAAATCAACCTACCCATTGTGGTTACGAAGAAGCGCATGGTCGAAAGTGTGGGTGGCCTTATTGTAGGACAGGGAGGCGGAGCACAGGAGGAAGAGGAAGTTACCATCTTCCTCCACAGGCAGACTCTCGATTAAGTTACGATGCAGGTTAGTTTCTCTCAGTGACGGACGTAGAGTTGAATTTCGACGAAACTTGTACCAACCAATCAAATCCTGAAACAAAAGCAATCAATTTAAATATAGAATTTACTTCAATATTTTTTGTTTTTTTTTAAGCATACATGTATAAGCTGTCATGCATACGGTGTTAATTATCAACACAGTGAATGTGTTTACAGTGATCACAAGAAACTTAAGATTAAAGGACCGCCTCCGTGGTGTAGTGGTTAGAGCGTCCGCCAGGAAAGCGAAAGGTCGCGGGTTCGATCCCCGACCGCGTCATACCAAAAGACGTTAAAATATGGTATTTGTTGGTCCCTGCCTGGCTCTCGACATTAATGGGTACAACAAGGACTGGTCGGCTCGGAGTCAGTATAATGTTTCTGAGTGGGGTATTCATGCTTCACTGCGGCATGGTATCTCAGTGGGCTAGCACTATAAAACCAGCTTACATACCGCACATACACATACACACGCATGCACGTCATCATATGAGCGAAATATTCTCGGGCACGACGTAAAACCCAATTTCACCTCACATCACCTAAGATTAAAGACTCTAAACCCCTCTCCATTATCAGAGAACTGGGAAACAGTACAATACTTGAGGGAGTTGTAATATGGGGCAAGGAGAAGGGATGTGTTGACTTCAGGTGTGTTTTCTTGCAGCTACTTAATAATTTCTTATGATCTAGCTCGTAAAATATTGGTACACTGGGCAACAATAAATGGCTTCTCATATACTATAGTATCAATGTGCAGATTTGAACTCAGTTTCTCTCAGTGGAAATGATAACTCCATCACCCAGTTAATATACACTATGTCTTACCTGGTGCTTCCCTTGCAAAAGCGTCATTGCTTTGGTTGGATCCACTCGTCCGACTGAGTTGTAGAGTCGGTCCTCATTTGGCCAAGGCAGGTACGAATAGACATCTTGGAAACAATAACAATGTTACATTAGGGGAACCACTCATCTTATATATATATATATATATATAGTCATGAGCATCATTCTTAAACTGTTCACTGCAAGATACACATTTTGCATTAAATGCATGATTAATTACTGTGAATTATTTTATGTAACTATTATCAATATTCCATTAATATGACATCTGAGAGTGAGTGAGTGAGTGAGTATGGTTTTATGCTTTTAGCAATATTCCAGCAATATCACCGCGGGGTACACAAGAAATGGGCTCACAGTCACACATTGTACCCATGTGGGAAAATCGAACCTTGGTCTTTAGCATGACGAGCCAATGCTTTAACCACAAGGCTAACCCACCGCCCTTCACTGCCTAAGACAACAGATATGGACTTCATACACTGTATTCATGTCTGGAATCAAACCCGGATCTTCAGTACATGCAGTAAAATAATCTATCCTATTTGCAAATTACAAAGTTGACAGAAAACTTACATATGACAGTTTCAACTTTGCAGTTGCTGATCTGCGAGTCACTAATCTTATCTTGAACATGGTTGACAATTTTCCCCAAAAGATAACCTTCCTGAAAGAAAAACAAAACAGCATATGTTTCTTTTCCTCCAGCATATAAATTTGAACAAACATTGATATGGTCACATCTCAAAATATTTACACATGCAAGGAAATCAAACCTTGAGAATCACAAAGTGACACTTCCTGACAGGAAGCAAGTGTCGCAGGAAACCATCCCTGTACACAAAATAGTTACATAGGATCAAAGTATAAGGTTACCATAGTTACTTGGGTATACACACATGGCCACTTGGATGATTGGGACATGGAAATGTTTGATGACATGGTTTACAAAATGCCTTTTGTTATCACAATATCAGAACATCTGTCAGCCCGATACTTGTGAATGTCTGGAAGTAATTTCTTGTTGCCACCAAACATGCTGTGTAACAAACCAATTCGTTAACATTGAAACATGTAATAGTCGGCTTTTGTCCAAGGTTGTCGCCTCTGACACTTGTCATATTTATTTAAGAATGCACCTATCTGTCATAACGGTTATACATGGTTAGGATCACACAGAATCAACGTAAAACGTGTCTGCTGTTATATCAGACAAGATGACTCAGTGTCACACCTCCCGTAAAATTGATGACACTCGGGTCTTGAAAACAACATACGCAGTTTTATAGACAGAGAGATAGAACGTAATAATTATTACTTTAACGTGTTGTTGACTCGCGACCTGAATGGCAAATAAACTGCCTGTCATTACCATGATTCACAATAGTTCATTTCTAAATATAGGCTAACTTACATCTACATTACTACTTTGTTAAACACGTTAAAATTCCTCATAATATGGATTTACGGGTATAATTACTAATTGGGTACAAAAATACTTGTGGTGTTAGGCATTATAACACAGAAGTCATGTTCATACTTGATCCCCTGGACTGTTTATTTGATCGTAGAAGAGGGATGACAATACAGTCCCACTGACACTCGCCGCCATTTTCCCCCCGACTGATTCTACTTCCGGTTTCATTGAATTATCCAGTCAGAACTTCGACAGCGAAACATATATCTCGGAGCTTACGCTTCGCTTTTGAAGTTCAGCGGAGTTATCCGAGAGGATCCGAGTGTATTACCGAGTGTCTCTGTTTACGGAAGCGAAAGTGACGTACTTATTTTTGAGTAAGATCTACTACGAAATTAGGCGATAGATATAGGCGGAAATTATCGTGTACACAGACGCTGTAATAGTTTCCGTGTTTGTCCACATGACAATTACAATGTCAAGGAATGTGATTCTTACATAAAGTATATGCAATCATAGATTAATAAACACGGACTTCTGACGATTATCGTGTACACATATGCGTACTCCAAAGAGTTCAGGAGTGAGTGAGTTTAGTTTTACGCCGCTTTTACCAATATTCCAGCAGTATCACGGCGGGGACATTGTACACATGTGGGGAATCGAACTCGGATGTTCGGCGTGACGAGCGAACGCTTTAGCCATGCACTAGCTAAGTTACCCCCACCGCCCAGATCAGAAGGAAGGGACTCTAACTTCATATGTCTGTTTTTGTTTTTTCTCTAATTACATGAACAATTGTAAACCATGACACTAACATATAAAAGACAAATTTATCTTAAATACATCTGAGTATTTACAATGTCTTTGAAGTAAAAAGCTCATAATACAGTGCAAGTAAACACTGCCGTCAACTTACGATATCCGATGGGAAATTAATTGAGTGTCTTCATCAGAAGGTCCTTAATCGAAATGATGTTTAGGTGAAATCTGTTTGTTGTACTTTTGAAACAAACATATACACGCCTGAACAGGTCCAGTTCTCACAAATAAGATACATAATACAAATGTATTGTTCTTACTCCCAGAGGAACATTGAAAGATTCCTGGGTTTTGCACTGCACACAAACCTTATCCCCATGAGTACACCGTGCCATTTTAGAAAATTGTCAAATGTTACATATGTTATATTTGGGATTACACTTTCTTAGTAAAGTACAAAATCTGGTATATTTATTTGGATTGAGTCACATCCGGGATTCGAACCCACACCCTCAGAGTCAGCACACAAGGCCAGCCGCCTAACCTGCTCAGCCACCGCGACTTCCACAAAAATGGAAGTTGGACAACTGGTAGTCTGCTGACTGTGTGTACCTCTCTGAGAAGTGTAAATTGGCAAAGCTCCCATGGCCGAAGCTATTTTTAAAGATAAGTTCAGCATTTGCATACAAGCAATAATATTATATATTAAGAATCGTCCATACATGAGGAACCCAACATTCAGTCTGATTTGCTGTCTCAGAAATGCAAAGAAAATCAGTAACAGGAAATTGGCACTTTCAGCCCCCTTAATCGTTTCAACCCTTCCATGTTATGCTCCAGCTCCAGATAACCTGCTTTAATTAGTAAAATAAACTCCGTTTAAACAAACCCGAAGGAAAGACACCGAGGCCAGACATTTGAAACTTTACTGAAAAAACAACTTCTTATCCACCAAAATGCACCAACTTTAGGTCAAATAAATACATACAGGAACGACACTTATTAGCGTCTCCTATAGTGCCTTGTAAAGACACAAGTCTCAACATATTCTCTTAGTGGCAACAGCACAAATGTGACGTATCTTTCAGTTTTTCAGACAGCACTATCTATATACATGATAACAATATATCGTGTGTGTATTTATTGGAAAATATCGCACAGTAGAAGAAGTGAAGCGTACGTACAATATCTTCAAAAGTATCTTACTCGTGTCCAGCTGGTGAAGGAGTGACGAGCTTCTTGTAGGTAACTTTAAAATGTTCCTGTTGACAAATGAAAATTTATTACAAGACATAGCTGTCGGACAAACGAAATTATTAATATAATTACAGGAAGTCAAAATGTCTTTGAAGACATGGATATTTTTCACTGACAGAAAACATATTTCACGTAAAACCAACACCTGAAAAGATGATTTCAAAGCTTTTGAAAAGAACCACCATGGTTTAGCTTCCTCCAAGCGCTATGTTTCCCTTGATTTTGCGCTTAGGTGGAAGACAGGTTCATTAAACCAGAAACCATATAATAAAATATTATATGGACTCTGATGAAACCCGGACTAGGTCACTCACGTATTTAGTCCGTACCATAAATCACGTAACAGAGGCGGACGCAGGATTTGGGAAAGGGACAGTGTGTGGGTATGGATGTGGATGGGAGAGGGTATGCCCGATGGCGCAGTTAACGTGAAAGGTATACCGAAAATGAAACAAACAGGCACGCACCCCATCCGCCCCACCCCATTCAACCGCCCGTCCGTACATGTGAGATCTCAAGGTGGTTGGTATGGTAGAAGTGAGTGAGTATGGTTTAAGCAATATTCCAGCAATATCACGGCGGGGGACACCAGAAATGGGCTTCACACGTTATAACCATGCGGGGAATCGAACCCGGTTTTTCGGCGTGACGATCGAACGCTGTAACCACTAGGCTACCCCACCGCCCCTATATGGTAGAAAGTTACGTTATGGAGTCGACTGGTTCTGCTGGTGCCACACAGTACACTGGTCTACGTGCGAGCCGGAGTGTTGTCGGATGGAGGAAGCGCGTAAGCGTGAGATACAGCACATGCATAGCGTTACGTGTTATGGTGTATCGTTGCGTAGTTCATCAATGATTATACGATTAATTTGAATCTTCCCTAACTAAGCAAAACGTGATGCCTAGCAGTGAATTTAGACCAACGAAGACGGGCGTTTTGAATGTACATAAATAGTAATGCTGGCTACAGGAAGGATTACGCTGAACTGTGCAGTGTGCGAGATGGTATATACACGTCATGCAGTTGTGAAACTTTCCACAAATGTTGAGTAAGATCGAGGCTAACCTATCTGGACATGTACGTGTCAACTGATACGCTGTTGAAACATTATGACGCCATATTGCTGCATTGTTCAGAACATTGCGATGTTATTCATCTTATCACAGATATTTGTAGACTAACAACTAGTCTCTGAAATCACCATATTTTACCGAAAAAACGTTCATAGTAAACAAAATTAATATAATGAAAAGGAGCCCTGAGACTTTCTTCATTTCCTGAATCTGTGGAAATCTAGACTTGCCACATTTTCTAGACTTGCGTGGGCGTTCTAGGATATATTTGCTTCAGGGTCTGTATGACAGAATAAGATATTTGGTTCTAGGTTTCCCCGTTTCAACAAGTCTTAGGTGATGTGTTTGTATTAATTTTGCCCAGTACTTCTTAAAACCACTACTTTCATTTCAGAATAACTCGTTATTGTTTTGTGTTCTGATGACTCAATATTAAACATTATAATCTAAAATATGTATTTATGCATTTACTAAATCTTAATGTCTATAATTTTGTCAAGTGTACAATCCGTATGTAATTTAATGGTTTCATAGATACTTGTCACGTGTTGCTTTGTTAAAAATATTTTTGTATATGAAATTCCTGAAGATTTTATGTATTATTTATAACCTTAGCCCTTTCCACACTGCGGTCGTAGCTCTACAGTCGCAAGTCTACGTTCATAAATTTGAGGTCCAATCACCATAGTGGTTTTGTGTTATCGGGTCATGGCCTCACGAATACATGTATTTTTAAACCAATGATTGGAACCTGAGGTTGCTCTTAGTTCATGCACCATCTTCTTCTCCAACACGGAGAATCAACACGAGTTAATGGAAGAAACATACGTTCCTCGAAGAAGTAACGGACAGAGGTTACACGGTCGCGCAGGCAGGCTCTTCTCATAGCATTAATTAGCCATGGCCTCAAATCTCGCAGCGAACAGAGAAAGAACTCGGAAGACTGATATTTACTGACGTTGTTGTTTCTTCATATGAAATGAACACGTCCTGCCGGAGTTGGGTATTAACTGACCATTTGTCTTAATCAAAAGAGGGTTTGTTGGAATACGACTCTTCGGTGGTGCAAACTGTCGGCATTATGATATAACATGCCGTAATTTACAAAAAGGATCCCGTTGCATTTCTTTTCCCCTTTCAGTATATTTGTGTTCCCGTTGCACCATAACAAACACATTGTTGCGTCACTACCGCGGTCTACCTGAAACAGCCCTGACGTGTGTGTAGAATGTTAGGCTTCAAAAGCCGACTCGCTGCCAAGGCACACTTGGCACACACTGCCTGCTATATCTATAGAAATCCCTCTGACATACACCCCAGACGCGTTCAGACCCAAACAATGCTAAATAGTTGCGGGGGTTACATTCCCTGGAATATAAGGGTATATCCCACAACGGTGAAGAACTGGAATACAAACCCTTTGGAATACCAGTTACCTTGACAACGTGTACGTTATGTAGTACCTCATAGCCAGCTTATAGTTGATGACTCCCAGATGTGTGAAATTAAGTCAGGCTTTTATCTCCCCGTGCATATAATCACCATCATCATAATTTAGTTCAGCATAGCCTAGAAGACTAACGCTTGGTCTTTGAATATATACAATATGATAAAACAAATAATTTCATATAAAATGTAAATGAGCCCCAGTGAGATGAGAGTTTCAGATTCCTAAATCTAGACTTGCTTCATTTAGGGCTTTAACATTGCAGAAATGGCTGGACAGACGAGAAAATAATGCGGTTCAGGGACTGTGAGGCGGACTAACTACACGGTGATGAAATTGTATGGATACTGGTCCGAGAGGGATGACATGTTTATTAAACTCTCATACCTGTTCCCATCGACACAGTCATGACCTTTGTACGCACTTTGTAGGCAGTATCAGACAATTACTGTCTGGTTGTTTTGCTTAAACGTATATTGCCCCAGCATGTACCCGTGTACGAGTGGTAGTAAAGGTGGACCACATAGCCTAGAGGCACTGGTCCATGATACAACGATTAACAGCAACCACACTCGTGGTGTGTGTATAGTATTAGATATAAATCTACATTGCAAGATTTCTTGTCAAAACAACATTGTCAAAGGGCACCAGTAAAATAACTATATGTACAGC